GGAGCCCAGGAGGTTCCAGGATGAGTGATCCATGTTCATACCACTGCACTCCAACCTGGGCAACAGAACGAGACCCATCTCTAAAAAGAAAAGGAAAGGACCTTCCATTGTACCCACCTAGCCGGGTCTCCCTTCATGCCAGCCATTCACTCATTCATTCTGCTCCTCCTGTACGTGAGGTGCTGTTCTAATTACTGGGTACATTTACTCCCCTCAACAACTCTGCAAGGTGGCCATTATTGTCCCCATCTTGCAAAGGAGGAAACTGAACTTCAGAACTGAGCTCCCCTCATTAGGTGGGAAAGCCGATGTTTGAATTTGTGTCCTTCTGGCCCAAAGTCCTTCACTGGATAAACCAGGCAACCAAGAGCAAAGAATGCTCTATACCCAACAAAAATACAAATGAAACTCAGGATCCATGATGCAAGAGTGGCAGAAGGTTCCAGGTGCACCACTGCCAGCCCTGACAGCCTTTGTGTCCAGGTCAGTCCAACAGGCTGGGATTGTCTCCAGCTTGGACACATCTGAAAAGCTGCAGGTGGGGGATCATCGGAATCACCTGGAAAAACAACCTGCTCTGAAAACAGGCATGATCCAAAAGGCAGAGAGGTTTGTGATGCCCATTTTGTACAACAGCTGACTGTCAGTAATTCATTACTCTTTTGAGGAAGTTCAAGTATAAGAAAATCTGGCCGGGCACGGTGGCTCAAGCCTGTAATCCCAGCACTTTGGGAGGCGGAGGCGGGTGGATCACGAGGTCGAGAGATCGAGACCATCCTGGTCAACATGGTGAAACCCCGTCTCTACTAAAAATACAAAAAATTAGCTGGGCATGGTGGCGTGTGCCTGTAATCCCAGCTACTCAGGAGGCTGAGGCAGGAGAATTGCCTGAGCCCAGGAGGCGGAGGTTGCGGTGAGCCGAGATCGCGCCATTGCACTCCAGCCTGGGCAACAAGAGCGAAACTCCGTCTCAAAAAAAAAAAAAAGAAAATCTGAAGTTAAAAACTGAAGGTTCTAAATGCAATGTAGTATCTTGGACTGGATTCTAGAACAGAAAAAAGGACAAAGGAAAACTGGTGATCTCTCCAGCCTGGGCAACATGGCAAAACCCTGGCTCTACTAAAAATACAAAAAATTAGCCAAGCGTGGTGGCATGCACCTGTAGTCCCAGCTACTCAGGAGGCTGAGGCAGGAGAATCGCTTGAAGTGGGAGTGGGAGGTTGCAGTGAGCTAAGATCTTGCCACTGCATTTCAACCCAGGCAACAGAGTCAGATTCTGTCTCAAGAAAGAGAGAGAGAGAGAACTCGTAAAATCTTAACAGATCACTTGAGGTCAGGGGTTCAAGACCAACCTGGCCAACATGGTGAAACCCCATCTCCATTAAAAATACAAAAATTAGCTGGGTATGGTGGTATGTACCTGCAATCCCAGCTCCTCAGGAAGCTGAGGCTGGAGAATCACTCGAAATGCAGAGGTTTCAGTGAGCCAAGATTGCGTTACTGCACTCCAGCCTCGGCGAGACAGAGCAAGACTATCTCAAAAATAAATAAATAATAATAATGTTGCATCATTGTTAGTTTTGGTAAATCCATGGTTGTGTAAGATGTTAACATTAGAGGAAACTGGGTGAAGGTCTGAAGAACTCTATTTCTTTTTCGTAAGCCTAAAATTATTTCAAAATAGTAAGTTATAAAAATTAGAGGGTGACATTCTACTTAATTTCATCAGCATTCCTTTCTCCTCTGTTCCTAACCAGCCATGTGATCTTTAGCAAATTATTTCATTTCTCTGGGTCACAGTTTTTCAACTTAAAAAAAAAAAAAAAGACACAAGCCAGATCATCTCTAACTTCCCCTCAATCTCTCAAATTCTGTGATCCCCGTACATTTACAATATGACACAATCTACAAACATTTGATTTATGGTGATCTCTTATTCACCTTCATATCTCTGGTATTTAGCATTGTGCCTATACATAGCTGGTGCTCACTGAAGGTTTTTGAAACTACCTCAAAAACTGAGATTCATACTCGGTTTGTAAAGCAAGGTAGAACTGTTAGCTCTTATACCTCGTTGACCGCTAGAGAGCGAAGTGGTCACAAAATTTTTCCCGTTAAAAGCAAATTTATCTTCATCTAGCAGAGGCAAGTGGTCCTTTATATTTCAGGCATGTAAAAATCAGGTCCTGGTTAGGGGAAGGGAGACATCTGTGAGCAGTTTCCTGCCTATAGACAGGCCCTCCAGTGGGGTGATTAGTACCATAAGCTTCCAGGTAAGCACACAGGGCCACTGCCCTCACCCCACTAAAGCACTTAGCAGCCTCAATGGATGGGAGATTGCCCTGCAAATGGGGAGCCCCACTCCTAGTATGTATATCATTGTCTGTCTTCCTAATGATCCTGGCTTATTTCTTGAACAAATGTTTCACTTGCAGAAAGGCAGCTTTAAGAGGTCAAATAAATGAATGTGAAAGGAAATTAATTAAAACCTTGACAACCACATGAAAAAGGCATTAGCCTTGAACAGGCACGGTGGTTGGCTCACGCCTGTAATCCCAGCACTTTGGGAAGCTGAGGCAGGTGGATCACGAGGTCAGAAGACCCAGACCATCCTGGCCAACATGGTGAAACCCCATCTCTGCTAAATATACAAAACTTAGCTGGGCGTGGTGGCAAGCGCCTGTAGCTGCTAAGGAGGCTGAGGCAGGAGAATCGCTTGAACCTGGGAGACGGAGGTTGCAATGAGCCAAGATTGCACCACTGTACTCCAGCCTGGGGACAGAGCAAGACTCCATCTCAAAAAAAAAAAAGAAAGAAAGAAAAGAAAAAGGCATTAGCCAGTCATCCTGCACAGCAGCCCAATATTGAGCCTGTGTGAGTTGCCATTTGTGTAGTGAAGCAACAGAAGCCATGGTCTGGACTCAGAAATCCTGGGTTCAAATACTGCCTCTGACCCCCAGTTCCCCAACACAGGACACACATTCAGTGGCCATGTAACCACAGCAAATGCTTCTCTTTTCACTGCCCCAATGCAGGAATAATAATAGCATCCACCTGGTGTTGGGTGGGAGAGTTCAGAGAGAACAGCCACACAGGGCTAAAAGTGGAGACTATTGTGACCGAGCAACTGCCCACCTGGACAAAGTGGACAGGTCAGGAATAGAAGGGCAAGGTGCTTTCACCTCATCTTCACGAGAGCTCTATGTGGGGAGACGATTACACAAGCAGCAGTGAGAGTGCCTTCCCTTCTTCAGACACAGAAAACCCCATCTGCGTAAATTTTCCTCAGCTGGTCAATCACAGTGCCAGAAGTCCCTGCCACTTGAACTGCTCCTTCAGGCTAAGTCACTTTATCTGCCAGCTGTGTTAGTTTAAACAAGTCAGTTTCCAAGTCCTGAGCTGCTGCTTTTATCATCCCATTAACATAGAAAACTAAGAGTAGGGGCCAGACACGGTGGCTCACACTTGTAATCCCAACACTTTGGGAGGTCGAGGCGGGCAGATCACCTGAGGTTAGGAATGCAAGACCAGCCTGGCCAACATGATGAAACCCTGTCTCTACTAAAAATACAAACATTAGCCAAGTGTGGTGGCGGGCACCTGTAATCCCAGCTACTCAGGAGGCTGACACAGGAGAATCACTTGAACTGGGGAGGTGGGGGTTACAGTGAGCTGAGATGGTGCCACTGCACTCCAACCTCCATCTCAAAAAAAAAAAAAAAAAAAAAAAAAAAATGCAGTGCATAGAATGAGGCTTTAAAGATTTTGCATTTATTTACTGGAGGATTTAAACCAAAAAGGTACAGACCCACCAGAAAATACAAAAATTAGCCAGGTGTGGTGGTGCACAGGTAGTCCCAGCAACTGGGGAGGCTAAGGCAGAAGAATTGCTTGAACCCCCGAGGTGGAGGTTGCAGTGAGCTGAAATCACGCCACTGCACTCCAGCTTGGCAACAGATCGAGATATCATCTCAAAAACAAACAAAGAAAAAAAACCCAGCAATATGGACCAGACCCAGTGACTCACACCTATAATGCCAGTACTTTGAGAGTCCAAGGCAGGAGGATCATTTGTGGCCAGGAGTTTGAGACCAGCCTGCACAACGTAAGACTCCATCTCTACAAGAAATTAAAAATTAGCCAGGTGGCCAGGTGCAGTGGCTCATGCCTGTAATCCTAACACTTTGGGAGACAAAGGCAAGCAGATCACTTGAACTCAAGTTCAAGACCAGCCTGGGCAACATGGTGAAAGCACATCTCTATAAAAATAGAGAAAATTAGCCAAGCATGCTGGTGTGCGCCTGCAGTTCCAGCTACTCAGGAGGCTGGGGTGAGAGGATCACCTGAGCCTGGGAAGGTCGAGGCTACAGTGAGCTGTGATCAGGCCACTTGCACTCCAACCTAGGTGACAGAGCAAGGCCCCATCTTAAAAAAAAAAAAAAAAAAGCTGGGTGTTGTGGCCTGCGGCCTGTGGTCCCAGCTACTCGGAGGCTGAAGCTGGAGGATCGCATCACTGCACTCCATTCAGCCTGAGCAAGGGAGCAAGACCCGGACTCTACTAAAATAAATTTCAAAAAAAAAAAAAAAAGCAATAGGAAGAAGCAACTCAACCAAGGTATGTTACTAAAGCCCTAAACAGAAAATTCGCCTGTTTCCAGAAGAGGCCAAGAACAGATGATAGGGCTGCACTGAACTCCTGCCTGTGCAGCCCGCTTTCTACAAGATTCCAGTCCTGGAAGATGATAGCATCCAGCCCCCATTCAAGCACCTCGAATATGAAAAACGCAGAGCCCGAAGAGCCAGGCGATGAACACACTATTCCTGTCTATAAATAACTCCCCTTGGGGAATAAACAGCAGGATCCAAGGCAGGAAACCCGAGCCGCAGAATCTGGTGGGTTCTTAGGGAACCCACTCACGGGCCTGAGTCCCCCGTGGGAGCGGCGGCCGGGTGCCTGGACCCCCGAGTCCCCGGAGCCCCGGGCGGCCGCGCGTCCCTACCTGCAAGCCCGATCCCGGCCGCGGAGCACTCGTGGCCCCGCACCCGCCCGTCTCCGGGACCGCGGAAACGCACCCAGCGGAGTGAGGTCGTCGTCGCCAAGGGCAGCGCAGGTGGCAGCGGAGGCGTGGGAGCCGGAACCGACCTTGAGAAAGGGCCAGGTCAGGACGCCTCTTGGCGCAGCCCCAAATCCTGCCCGCGCCCCAGCCCCGCTCAGGCGGCGCCCCTGCCACCTCCGGCCACACCGGCTGGGAGGTCTGGCTCCTGCAGACCGCGCTTCCCGCTGCCCTCCTGCGCTGGGCTGCTCACGCCTGCCTCGCCAGCCCCGCATTCGCGGGGATCCCTACCTGTCCTTTAGGGCTTGCCTCATAGGTCAAACGTCACCTCCCAGGGAGGAATGGCCTGCCCGCTAGCCAGGTGGGCCTCTTCCACGCTCGCCTGCACCACCCACCCACCTTGATAACTGCTTCCTCCTTGAGACTGCAAACCTTCAAGGGCAGGAAATGGGTCTGTTTTCCTGGCAAATAATGAAGTTGGTGGAAGGTTTTGCTGAATAAAATGAGTGGCAGACAAAAGTAGCCAAATCGGACAGTCTTTTTTTTTTTTTTTTTTTTTTTTGAGACGGAGTTTCGCTCTTGTTACCCAGGCTGGAGTGCAATGGCGCGATCTCGGCTCACCGCAACCTCCGCCTCCTGGGTTCAGGCAATTCTCCTGCCTCAGCCTCCTGAGTAGTTGGGATTACAGGCATATGCCACCATGCCCAGCTGATTTTTTGTATTTTTAGTAGAGACGGGGTTTCACCATGTTGACCAGGATGGTCTCGATCTCTCGACCTCGTGATCCACCCGCCTCGGCCTCCCAAAGTGCTGGGATTACAGGCTTGAGCCACCGCGCCCGGCCAATCGGACAGTCTTGATGGGTTATTTGGTGAAGGAGGTGCAGAATGGGCTTAATTAGTTACTGGATTTCTTTCCCCATGTTACTCCTCCCTAATTCTGATGAGGAACTGAGAACTGGATCTATTGATCTATTAACTCTTAACCTCCCTTTTCTTTTCTTTTCTTTTCTTTTCTTTTTTTTTTTTTTAACACGAGTCACAATCTTGGCTCACTATAACCTCCATCTCCCGGGTTGAAGCGAGTCTCCTCTCTCAGCCTCCTGAATAGCTGGAATTACAGGCGTCCACCACCACGCCCAGATAATTTTTGTATTTTTAGTAGAGTCGGTGTTTCACCATGTTGGCCAGGCTAGTCTCAAACTCCTGACCTTAGGTGATCCACCTGCCTCAGTCTCCCAAAGTGCTGGGGTTACAGGTGTGAACTACCACGCTTCCTTTTCTAAGGGCACTACCAGACTTCTCTTGCTATCTTAAGGATGGAGTCCTAATTCTGCCATCGGAACCCTGAATCCTTCACTTTAAGCACAACAATTTCAAGCAAAGACTTGCAGCTTCTCCTTCTCCGTTTGGGGGAATGGGTGACTCTTTAATCTGTGGTGAGATAGATATGATTTTTTTTTCATGCTGTTAATTAGAATACTATCCCCCAAAGAGGAAGAAATAAATAGAAAAAGGAATCTAGTCTGATGTCCCAGAAGTGTTTACATATGGTTTGCAGAATAGCCCTACAAGAAAAAAAATCTCAAATGACACAGCCTACCACTGCTGGGGTTTCCGGTAAAATAAGAGCTGAAGTTTAGGGATGATCAAACTTAGACTCAAAGTCCTCAATCACATGATTTTTGTTTTTCTTTTTTGGTCTATCCTATCAATTAGTGAATGTTAAAATCGTTGACTATATTGTGGATTGGATTTGTGTGTTTGGAGTTTTGCTCTGTCGCCCAGGCTGGAGTGCAGTGTTTCGATCTCAGCTCACTGCAACCTTTGCCTCCTAGGTTCAAACATTTCTCCTGCCTAAGCCTCCCGAGTAGCTGGGACTACACGTGTACACCACCATGCCCAGCTAATTTTTGTATTTTTAGTAGAGACGGGGTTTCACCATGTTGGCCAGCCTGGTCTGGAACTCCTGACCTCAGGTGATTTGCCCACCTCAGCCTCCCAAAGTGCTGGGATTACAGGTGTGAGTCACCTCACCCAGCCTAATCACATGATTTTTCATATTCCACGTTTGAGTGTCATTCTTCAACTGGTGGACCATTTTTCCCACAAATGTTTTCTCCTCTAATAGTGAAGAGAGCAGTCCTAGATAAAACATTTTAGCCACATCTCTGGCAAATCTTTAGGACATATTTCTATGTTCCATATTCCTACAAATGAGATTACCAAGTCAAAGGATATGACACTTTCTCTTTTTTTTTAAAGTTGGGGTTTAACCACGATGGCCAGGCTGGTCATGAACTCCTGACCTCAGGTGATCCACCCAGCTCGGACTCCCAAAGTGCTAGGATTACAGGTGTGAGCCACCACGGCCGGCTGGATATTACACTTTCTAAAACTACTATACATCATTTCTTACCTCCAATGTTGCATAATTTTATCTTCTAGTAAAAGATAAAATTATCCTCTATCTTGGAGGTGATAAGACTGAGGACTGAGTTTAGAACATCCTTGGCCACACAAAGAGCTTTTTAAAATCTTTCTGAGTTTGATTCATGAAAATTCAATCTCTCTTTAAAAGATTAGCTTTTTTTTTTTTTTTTTTTTTTTTTTGAGACAGAGTTTCGCTCTTGTTACCCAGGCTGGAGTGCAATGGCGCGATCTCAGCTCACCACAACCTCCGCCTCCCGGGTTCAGGCAATTCTCCTGCCTCAGCCTCCTGAGTAGCTGGGATTACAGGCACGCGCCACCATGCCCAGCTAATTTTTTGTATTTTTAGTAGAGACGGCGTTTCACCATGTTGACCAGGATGGTCTCGATCTCTTGACCTCCTGATCTACCCGCCTCGGCCTCCCAAAGTGCTGGGATTACAGGCGTGAGCCACTGCGCCCGGCCCTAAAAGATAAGTTTTTTTATTTCCCTTTGAATTGCTAGAAAAACTAATTCTTTTCTAATTGTTTTACTGGTCATTTGCATTTATTTTATGATTTAATGTGGATTTGGCATATTATTATTAATTTATATAGGTTCCTTCTATATTAAGGATGTTAATTCTTAGGCTATCATATATGTGGTATATTTTTATCCCAACTTATCATTTGCCTTTTAATTGTGTTTGAAATGATCTGATGCACTATTTTAAAATTCTAATTAAGTTAAACTTTTCACCTTTGCCTACATGACTTTTTCCGTTGATTTTATGTTCAGAAATCCTCCCCAATTTCCCAAACTATAAATATTTCCTAGTACTTTTTTTAAAGAAAAAAAAAAACAGAATCTCTGTCTCTCTCTCTCCCCTCAATCTGTCTTTCACTCCCCACTCTTCCCTCTCTCTGTTGCCCAAGCTATATAGAAGGCAATGGCCCAATCACAGCTCACTGCAGCCTCCTTGACCTCCCCAGGCTCAGGTGATCCTCCCACCTCAGCCTCCTGAGCTGCTGGGACTACAGGCCTGCGCCACCATGCCAGGCTAATTTTTTGTATTTTTTTAGAGATGGAGTTTTGCCATGTTGCCCAGGCTGGTCTCCTGGGCTCAAGTGACCCAACCACATCAGCCTCCCAAAGTGCTGGGATTACAGGCATGAGGCATCACACCCAGGCTTGCCTCATACACTGTTTTGCGGTATGTTTGTTTGTTTGTTTGTTTGTTGCTTTATAAAAATGCTATTCAATAAGTAGATTTCCAGGCCTTGCATGGTTTCCATTCAATGTTTCTAAGATTGACACATATTTTGCAAAGCTGCATTTTGGTCATGTTCACTGCTATATAATATTCTACTTGTGATCATATCCTACCTTATTTAGCCATTCTCCTGATGATCAGCATGGAGTTATTTCCAGTTTGTTTCCTCTGACTAATACTCATGTTATGAATGTCCACTTGCTTGCCTCCTGGAGCCCCTGGGCAAGCATTTCTCTGAATGTGGACACACATACATAGGCCCAGAAAGCATGAATGTGCAGAATTCAGAGATAATGCTAAACTGTTTTCCAAAGCAGTTATACCAATGGACACACCCATTAAAAGTGACTTTTGTGGCTGGGTGTGGTGGCTCATGCCTGTAATCCCAGTACTTTGGGAGGCCAAGGCAGGCAGATCATGAGGTCAGGAGTTCAAGACCAGCCTGGCCAACATAGTGAAACCCTGTCTCTACTAAAAATATAAAAATGAGCCAGGCATGGTGGCACAAGCCTGTAGTCTCAGCTACTTGGGAGACTAAGGCAGGAGAATCGCTTGAACCCGGGAGACGGAGGTTGTGGTGAGCTGAGATCAAGCCACTGTACTCTGGCCTGGGCAACAGAGCAAGACTCCACCTCAAAAAAAAAGTGACTTTTGTTTTCGACTCAGTATTTTTCAGGTCAAATACATTTTCCTTTCGATGTTAGATTTATACTGATTTTCACAAACTGGCTTGGAGAATTATGAGATCCTCAAACACAAAGCCTCATATTGTGGTTCTTAATCAAGAAAATCTTCTAAAGGCAATGATCCAGCTAATTACAGATGCCCTACTGTCCACATCTAAATTTAGGCATGGCGGCCGGGATTAGACTCATGAGTCCTAGGACAATTCCAGGGGTGTTATGAACTTAAAAACTCTGGCGTAAGCATGGTGTGGGGAGTGTTTGCGGTAATATGAGAATCCTGTGCACAACAGTATAAGCGGCTGCTTCAGAATCTACTGCTCTCACCTCCCACGTTCCATACAACCTCTTCTTTATTTTAGTCTTTATTTATTATGTTTGTTTGTTTGTTTATTTTGAGGCAGAGTCTTACTCTGTCACTCAGGCTGATTTATTTATTTATTTAGAGACAGGAGTCTCACTCTGTCACTCAGGCTGAAGTGTAGCAGCACGATCTTGGCTCACTGCGACCTCCACCTCCTGGGTTCAAGTGATTCTCCTGCCTCAGCCTCCCAAGTAGCTGGGATTACAGGTGCCCGCCACCACACCCGGCTAATTTTTATATTTTTAGTAGAGATGGGGTTTCACTATGTTGGCTGGGCTGGTCTCGAACTCCTGACCTCAACTGATCTGCTCACCTCGGCCTTCCAAAGTGCTGGGATTACAGGTGTGAGCCACCGTGCCGGGCCTGTAGACTTTAATAGCAACATTCCTTATAAAAATGATTTTTTGGTTTTTGCGACAGGGTATATCACAGGCTGCAGTGCAGTGGTGCTATCATAGCTCATGAGCCTCCAACTCTTATGCTCAACTGACCCTTCTGCCTCAGCCTCCCAAGGAGCTGATATTACACACACGAACCACCAGAGCCAGCTAATTATTTTTGTATTTTTGGTTGGTTTGTTTTGTTTTGTTTTTGAGACAGAGTTTGACTCTTGCTGTCTAGGCTGGAGTGCAATGGCGAAATCTCAGCTCACTGCAACCTCCGCCTCCCAGGTTCAAGCAATTCTCCTACCTCAGC